CTTCGGAAAGTGGCCTTTAGTGAAGGATAACCTGAAGTACATGAAATAAATAAGTGAGGTATCAGATATTGGAATCGTCAAAATTTCTAAGCCTAAGGAGAAAATAAAATGGGTTTACGAGCTCATGCAAGCAAAACTATTTGATAAGCACATGCGCATGAGCACACATATACTCACACAAACCTTCTCAGAAATACAATGAATCAACTGAAAATTACATTTAGTACACAGGTAAAAAAAAAAAAAGAAAAAATTAAAGAGCATCACTATACTCTCCTAATTATTATGACCCAAGTCAATGCCCGTAGAAAAACTATGTTTTCGGTAAATGTTATGGAAACTGAGAACAGCCAGCTTCTATCCAGAAGCAGCATTCCCACCACAAAATACAAAGCCAAATTGTACCTGTGAATGTTGTCGCAGCCCATCAGTCCTGGAATGGTGGGTCTGGATGCAGAATGAACATTTTTATCTTTGTCTTTTCTCTACTTACAATGAAAACATAGCTATCTAACCCTCCACCAGGTGAAAGATGGTTTTTCTGTTTGAAACTGAAACAGATACCTTAACAGCTGGCATCCATTTCAGGCCCTCTCAAAAACAAAGCTGAGCTACAGCAATCTCATAACTCAAACAACAAACTTGGTTTTTCTAAATAAATGAGAACACGTATTAAAGGTACCAAGAAGGACATACTTGAGTTGTTACTGTTGAACAAATGTAAGCACACAGACAATGACATAAAGTTGCTGCAAGAACAAAATTAAAGCATAGTTTTAGACCAGTAGATAATCTTCATTATTCCACTAACTATTGAGTCATAATTTAAGGCTTAACAGTATAATTTAATGTATGGACAAGACCTTACTTAGTACGAAATCTAAATAAAAGTTTTAAGAGAACTAAAGAACTAATTTCCATTTATATAAATTCATTTAAAACCCACTGTAAAATTATACTTACTTTTTCACATGTTTAACTTTCATACTAGCTGTAGTGCCACATGACTTAAGGTTAAGGTCTCCAGGAATCTCAGGAACGTCTGCTCCTCTTGCCTTAAAAATAATAAAGACAAAAGATTTATGACTATTCCTTTAGTATAAATATGTTTTTAAAAGCAGATTATAGTTATTTCAATGGTTCTGCTGACTCTGT